AGTTGTACAAAACACGTAATGAACATGTACAAAACACGTACCAAACACGTTGTACAAAACACGTAACGAACAAGTTGTACAAAACAAGTAATAAACAAGTTGTACAAAACACGTAATGAACATGTACAAAACACGTAATGAACAAGTTGTACAAAACACGTAACAAACATGTACAAAACACGTAACAAATACGTTGTACCAAACACGCTGGACTTTCCTCAGACGGTCGGTACCGGACGATCCTCGGACCGCTCCGTATTTTTGTCCACATGTAGCTTCCAAAGTGCTTATCTGTGTGAAATGCTCTTTGTTTTTGATTTCTTCCATGTCATTCCATCGTGGTGCAGTGATTTGTGCCGGAAGGACAAAGACTGTGAGTTTTTCTTCAACTTGGACGTGGAGGTGGTCCTAAAGAACGAGGACACGCTTAAGATCCTCATCAGACAAAACCTGTGGGTGTTTATCCGTTCCAACTGAGACCTTTCTGCTGACCTCGTGAAGAACCTCTCTGATGTTCCTCCTCAGGCCCGTCGTGGCGCCCATGATAACCCGAGTGGGACGATTGTGGAGCAACTTCTGGGGGGCCCTCAGTGCAGACGGGTACTACGCCAGATCCGAGGACTACGTGGACATCGTCCAGGGACAGAGAGTGTGAGTTCCCTGAAGACTCCAGGGATGAGCTGGGGAACGTTTGGAATAATTCAGACACGCCACAGTTGTAAAAGATTCTAAATAATTTTTCAAATGTCAAAAATGAATATAGTTCATCGGTGCTGCCATTTTGAGAGTCAGCAGAGTCGTTGCTGCTGCTTGTCCCAGTAGAGTTGCCGTAGTAGAAACATGTAGCGGTAAAGCTGCTTTTTTACATATTTTCTGCTCTAAACCCTGAAGAACCTTTCTGTAAATAATAGTTGAAGTCATCAGAACTTGACTGAGCAGGGACACCCGGCTTTTTCCGTACGTGGTCAGAACTGTCCAGATGAAAGTAATCGCGGGCCCCAGTTGGAATTTTAAAGTGTAGTTTATTTCCATTTGCAAACCTGAAAACTATCACAGGTCGTCATGACAACTACCTCCTCACTCACGGTTACTCTACTGAATGGACTAACACAAACTAACCCATGATGAACACAAACTAGACTAACAAGAACAGACTAGTCACTAAAAGAACAATGGAGCTAACAGAAATGATAACCAATGAACACTAATTTTACCCATAATCCCTCTCTGAGGCCACTCCTCATCCCTGAGCAGTTTTGAGACGGCAGCGGTCCACTTTGGTTCTGGTCTCACCTCCTGGTGTCAGATGTTTGTGTTGACTCGGCGTTGCGTTGCAGGGGTGTGTGGAATGTCCCGTACGTCTCCAGTGTTTACCTGGTGAAGGCGGAGCTCCTGCGGTCGGAGCTGAGCGACTACAACCTGTTCACCTCCCAGACCTTGGACCCCGACATGGCCTTCTGCCACAACGTTCGCAGCAAGGTCCGAAACGGGCAGAGGAGGGTTTCAGCTCAGAGCCGGGGGTGTTACAAACCATCTTCTTCATGGTCTTCAACCGTTGTTGCAGGGGATCTTCATGTTCGTGACCAACATGGACACGTTCGGCCGCATCCTGTCCACGGAAAACTACCAGACCAAACATCTGCACAACGATCTGTGGCAGATGTTTGACAACCCCAAGGTGAGCGTTTTACCGTGTAAACCAGCGTCCTGGCTCTTTAGGGTCACCATGGTAACCACAAACGTGTCTTTCACTCCCTGACAGCACTCATAAAGCTGATCGCTCTGACTTACTAAAATTTTTGTAGATCTTTTTTTTCTGAAACGGAGAACTTTGTGTTAGCTTTTAGCTACTCTTTTGCAGTTTTTAGCTTTTGCTTTGCGGAGTTTAATTTCCAGGGAGAAGTCGTCGCATCGATACGATGGGTTTCACTGGGAGTCTGGGTGTTTGACCTCTGACCTCATGAGTTTTGCTCCTTCGTCCTTCAGGAGATGATGACGTGCTTCCTGTTTTGTTTCAGGACTGGGAGGAGCGATACATCCACGAGAACTACACGCGCATCATGAAGGACAAGCTGATTGAAAACGTGAGTCGACTCACGAGCAGAACTTTTCAACCAACGGTTCATTCTGACGTTACTCAGTGGTGCTGTTCTCTCCTGACCTGCAGCCCTGTCCAGATGTTTACTGGTTCCCAGTTTTCACAGATGTTGCCTGCAAACACCTGATAGAAGAAATGGAGCACTTTGGGAAGTGGTCCGGAGGCGGCAACATGGTTTGTTGTTCTACTACGATCTCTTTGACTCCTTCAAAACGTCTTTGAAATCTGCTTCAGCTCCCGGAGCTGTCTTCTTGTGCTACTGTTAGCTTTCAGCTGACCTAGCTCTTAGCTTGTTTTGTTCCTTTTATCTTTTAAATAGCATTTTGTTTCTTTTAGGTTTTAGCTAGTGTTTTGTTTCCTTCAGCTAGCATTTTGCTACTTTTGGCTTTTATCTAGTGTTCATTTTACAGCTGCTTTTATTTTAATTTTATTTAATTTTCTGCTTTTATCTTGAATTATCTCCCATTGATTGTTGTTGTTGTTGTTGTTGTTGTTGTTGTTGTTGTTGATGATGTTGTTAAGCACTTTGATAACGGGTTCTGTTTTAAATGTGCTCTATAAATAAAGTTGACTTGACTTGAATTCTACTACTTTTGACTTTTAATTAGCAATTCTGCTACTTTTTGCTAGACCCATACTACATTTAGCTATTTGCTAACAACCTGCTATTACTTTAAGTTAACCTTTTGCCACTTTTAGCCATCTTTTTCTACTTTAGCTTTTAGCTCGTGTTTTACTGCTTTTTTCTTTTTGTAGTGTTTTGTTTCTTGCAGTTAGCATTTTGGTACGCTTGTTTTAGCTTGTGTTTTAATTTCAGCTACTGCAAGTTTAAACTGCAGCCACTGTTTGGCTGTTTCTTTAGCTGTGTTGTTGACTTGTTGTTTATTGTTTACTTGTTCCTCAGGATACACGGATCACGGGGGGCTACGAGAACGTCCCCACCATCGACATCCATATGAACCAGGTCCACTTCGAGAAGGAATGGCGTAAATTCCTGATCGAGTACATCGCTCCGATAACAGAAAAGATGTTTCCTGGCTACCACACTCAGGTAGGACGTCCCACACTCAGGTAGGACGTCCTACTCTCAGGTAGTATAACGTCCCATGCTCGGGTAGGACGTCTCACATTCAGGTAGGACGTCCCACACTCAGGTAGGACGTCCCACATTCAGGTAGAACGTCCCACATTCAGGTAGGACGTCCCACTCTCAGGTAGTATAACGTCCCATGCTCAGGTAGAGCGTCTCACATTCAGGTAGGACGTCCCACACTCAGGTAGGACGTCCGAGTAGGACGTCCCACATTCAGGTAGGACGTCCCACACTCAGGTAGGACGTCCCACATTCAGGTAGAACATCCCACATTCAGGTAGGACGTCCCACTCTCAGGTAGTATAACGTCCCATGCTCAGGTAGAACGTCTCACATTCAGGTAGGACGTCCCACACTCAGGTAGGACGTCCG